TTTTTCCCGGTTTAACAGAACTGTTCCACTCCATCTGGATCACGCCCACCACGATTACCACGACTATCGTTTCTCTTTGTCGAACCGGTTGGTTGGTTGTTTAACGCCGCACTCAGCAATATTCCAGCTATATGGCAAGCTGCAAATAATCGTGTCTGGACCAGACAATCCAGTGATCAACAGCATGAGCATCAATCTACACATCTGGGATACGATGACGTGTGTCAACCAAGCCAGCGAGTCTGACCACCTGATCCCGTTAGTCGTCTCTTGCGCTAAACATGGGTTACTGAAGGTCAGTTCTAACCCGGATCTTCACTGGTTTGTCGAACCGGAGATATGCCAATTGCAGTAGTTAAACTAATGTCACCTTTGTGTATTTCTGGTCAGAAATAGATTCCTTGTGGATACGAGGTAAATGAATATTGAGCTGCCGGGCCTGGTGCCTAAATATTTTAATCAAACGATGCATCAACGTTACACGATATGCATTAACTCTTGTCCCAGTGTGTCTGGCCGTCTACACCGCCGCCTGCGGATGTAGTAAGTGTAGCAGCTGTTGCAGCCACAGCAGCCACCACTCCCACCACAGTAAGCACGGCATCCCCATCCCCATCCCCTACCCCATGAGCGGAGGCAGCAGCGGCGGCAGTCACACCAACTTCCTCCCCATCATCCTCACCACAGCGGGATAATCCGACACAGGTAATATCAGATATACATTGTATGTTTGGGGTTTCTTCTTAAACCATCAGGTTTATCTGAAACGTATTTGATCTTAAACACATATAACAGATCTCCTGAACATATAAATATGATTATTATGAATATGATAAATTTGCTACTCTCAGAGTCACTTCACTCCCGTACATGTACGTTAAATTCAACCTCTGGACCAGAATCAGCACAAGTTGAATATTTGATGGAGAAGCTTCACGACCGTGACTCATATTCATTCATATGATATGTACATATGTTCATATTATTGGCCGATGTATGTTATATTAGTGAGTGAGGTGTATTACATATAACAAAATTAATATTACAAAAGAAAATAGATATGTTTTCGTACATATAATAGACACACAGCCGCGCATTGTATGCCGCCATGTTTGGGGGTGTCTGAAATACATAAATAAGAAGTGTTTATTCGGTGATGGTGAATCTGAAAGAGTGTCGTAGTTGTGTTTTGGACCTTAAGTTTGCCAGATGTCGTGGGCTGTTTTCTCGTAACGTTTAAATCATTATATTTATTCTGTCAAATCCAATGATCGAGTGTACGATGCTTTCGTTTGCCCGGCTATCGAAACAAATCTGACGTCATGTTTTTTTCTTGTTTCTTTCAGGTCAGTGTAAGCTTCCCGCCGTCCGCTTGTAAACTGACGTCCAATATTTAATAAATCACTTGAACATGTTAATCATTTCTCTAAATTATTCAGTTTGCGGCAAATAAGAAGGAATAACACCATACCTCGTACAGTAACGGTGTAAAGTCTACCTGAGAGTCGACCATTAATTTCAAAGGTTACATTTTGCTCATGAGAAATACATCTAACTGGCATTCAGTTATATTAATCTGGCACACAAACACAGCCATGGGATTATCGCCCTTCCACCAATAGGATTCACACCCGTGCACCAACTTTGAAAGGTGCATTATTCACCTGTTTTGCGAATGAAGGTCGCAGATTCCAAACAGACCTATCAACAATCAACACAATCAGCAGTGTCTTAGTATAAGGGTTACAACACAATACCCATTTATTAGAAGTTACCAATATGGGCTAACAGTGACCAATTACTGCTACATGTCACGACGTTTTATTTTACTGCCGCCGTTACAGTAAACATTCAGTTGTCATCGTGAAGAAAGATGACAGATTTGGATGGGTCTGTAATGATATTGGGGTTACTATGACTGCAAGAACCACACACAAGAGACTCTGGACTGCCTGTAATTGATGCCGTTGTGCGCCATTTTGTTCCATGTTGGTCTTAAAAAACCGATAACGTTTGTGACCAACCTTCACTTATTCTGGCTTATTCCCTCAAGCAACACAACATCACCAGTATACACCATTTTCTCCCAGAGATCATCACGCTTAGGATCAAACTGTCATTGGGAGATTAGTTCAGACAACGCCACGCTATTCCCGGTTGTTTGATTAATCATGAGAGCAAACATATGTCTGATAAAGTCATCTCAAATGTTCATTGTCTCACCACACATACATGTCGTCTTCCTTGGCTGTATGCACTCCCTGGTTTGCTGATCTTGGTCTGTCTTATAACACCCAGTAACCCATCTCAGTCCAACAGCATCGTTCCATACCTCTTTACATTTCTGTTATCCAGGAGAAACACCTGCTGTGTTCTGAAATGTGAGGGGCGGTGGAGTCGCCAAGTTAAAGCGTTTGCTTGTCACTCCGAAGACCCGGGTTCGATTCCCCACATGTGTACAATGTATGAAGCCCATTTCTCGTGACCCCAGTCGTGATATTGCTGGAATATTGCTAAACGCGGCGTAAAACTAAACTCACTCACACTCACTCTGAACATGTGATAACCATCCGCTGTAGATTAGTATGTTTCCGGCACAGTCACTTCCAACGGAAACACCCCGAAGTATGGCTGAATACCGCAGTTTTTAGTTGCAGACGCCCGTACAAAAGGAACTGAACATGCTTGTGACCTAGGATTCTGTTGCCCTGGTGACAAACTGACTGTGTGACTCATGGTGGTGTGTCCATTTTAGGAAATGTGTGTGCTCGGTACGGCAGGACATGTTTTGTCTTTCTGCCAACACCCGGTGTCATCACTGATCCATGTATGTGATTTCCACAGCTGGTTTGCCCTTTACACCAAATTAAGGTAGTCAAAACTGGGTATTCCTTTCCGCTAAAGTGTTCATATATCCGCACCTACACACTGTTGTTCTATGATACAGTCACAGAAGACCTTGCTGATGAACAGGACAGATTAGTTTACGATAGTACCACCCAGCCATTGACGACGGAAGCAAAGGCCAGTTTAGAACAGAAAGATGGTTTGTATCAGTAAAGGACGGTGGTCTCCACTCCAGCTTTAAATACTTTTAATGACAGAAACATGATTCACACCCACACACCAACTTCGAAAGGTGTTTTGTTCACCTGTTTTGTGAATGAAGGTCGCAGATTCCAAACAGTCCGATCAACAATCAACACAATCAGCAGGTTATATGGATTACAACACAATACCCATTTATGTAGTTAGATGGGCAAATACCTTACTGCTACGTGTAACGACAGGCAAAGTTGTATTTTCCCTCCAGCAGCAAAACATCACCAGTATACGCCAGTTTCCCACTATATATCGTCATGTTTAGGATCAAATTGTCACTGGGATTAACCTATAGATACATGACTTGACTTCAGAAACTAGGGTTTAACTTCCAGTGGGTAAATTACACCCGCTTGGCCGCCAACTCTCTCTCGGTTAGTAAGTAATATCTAATAATGAGTGAGAGAGTATGGTTTTACGCCGCTTTTAGCAATATTCCAGCAATATATAATACGCCAGACCCTTGTACCCTTTGTGGGGAATCGAACCCGGGTAATCGGCGTGATGAGCCAACGCTTTAACCACTTGGCTAACACACCGCCCTTTATAATAATGAACCATGAGTGGTTGATGTCTTCGACATAAATGAATCCAAATGTTTGGATGGTGTTAGGAAAACATAAAGTCTATACTCCCCAGGGAGTTGAGATTGATAACACGATGTGCCGTTGAGATTGACATGCAATGTTCGAGGGAAAAAATACCAGCGCCTTGAGCAAGCACTAGTTGCCTGGATATGTGCGCTATATAAATATCGTATAATAAAAACAAAATGATATCTATTTAACTGAGGCAAGGCGGCAACTGTCCATCAACGTGGGGATATTGTTGTCCTCGACATTTGAAACTATTCGTTCAGTAAATAGCGTTACTGATAACACACCACCTTGTGGGACACCTTATCTTAATGAGTGGGCCCATACAAAGTGGAACCCAGATACACCTGGAAACGCCTTTCCTTGAACTAAAAATGGAACTTTAAATAAGGCAAACGGCCTTTCAGTCCCTCAACTTCGTGATGATGAATTATATAATATCACTTTGCCACTATCCTTGGTCTTGAAAGTAAAACTATTGCAGTGAGTCTTGTTTATGTTGGGGGCTTTAGTAGTTATATGGATGACCACAGCATTGCACCAAGGTGCAGAGAAACTACGTTGTTTAAGTGTTGGCAAATATTTCTGATAGGTGTTTCAAAACATGCATCAGATGAGTATTTAAAGAGTAAGATATTATTCGCTTCACGCATTGTACCCATGTAGGGAATCGAACCCGGGCCTTCGGATTGACGAGCGAACACTTGTATTCCGAAGACGCACAGCACTCATGGAAAAGGAAAGATTTAATTGAAATCATTGATTTAATTATTAAAAAATTCTGGAAAATTAAGGAATGTTGAGCTGTGGTGTCACCTAACGGTAACGTAAGATTTATTAGTTTGCTGTGAATGACACCCTCTTGGTGTCTAACTACACTATAACTGAAATGGTTAGACAAGGATGTTCGTGAACCTGTGTGCTGGCTATTTGATGCCTTACCCTGAGAGGTGCGAGGTAATCCCGGATGGGACCCAACCCCAAAAGTACCAGAATTTCTACTTTACTGATTGAAAAGTGCCATCCTCAATATAACATTTGTTACATTTGATCACTTTCTACATGGCATTCATAGCGTCATCTTTACAATTAAAAGATTTGCATCTCTAAACTGAAGTATCGCTCTTATGGCGTCACAGATTTCTGAAGACAACGGCTTTTGTACAGATGCTATTCACAGCTGAAGACAATGGGATGCAGTTAAGATTCCTCAGTGACAAGGGACTCTTCGAAGACGGAGCATCAACAGTTTAGCGAAAGCAGTACGATATTTGAGTTCAAGATAAGGACAAAAAACTAATGTGCTCAATTCAAAAGTTTATTTTGACGAAAGTGGTCGTTGTTCCTTCGCGGCATAAATCTGAAACTAGAAAAACGTTGATTAATTTTCAGCACCCAAGTCTTGATAAACAAGAGGATTCTGGGTGCAATGATGATGTTGTTTTGTCGATGATGGAGTGGTTCGTCGTTCATGCTGTCGACCACTGATTTGACTCCGAGGGAATTAAGTAGGACAATGCATCTAGCTTAAAAATAGGTTTAAATTTAATTTTTGACGAAGATCGATTCGCTTTGTGTCGGAAACAATAGAGGACGAATGATTATGTATTTGGGCTCCTTCCGGGACCCTTGCCGGGTTCATTTGATGAGATGAGGTCTTCGGCGTGACGAGCGGACGCTTTAACCACTAGGCTACCCAATCGACCTTCAATCGATTGGATAGAAAGTATATGTTACCTGTTCTTTTATCCCGCTGTAGTGAGGATGATGGGGAGGAAGTTGGTGTGACTGCCGCCGCTGCTGCCTCCGCTCATGGGGTAGGGGATGGGGATGGGGATGCCGTGCTTGCTGTGGTGGGAGTGGTGGCTGCCGTGGCTGCAACAGCTGCTACACTTACTACATCCGCAGGCGGCGGTGTAGACGGTCAGACAAACTGTTAATATAATGCGCCATCTTTACAAATTAGGTCACAAGAACAAAGAATTTGTAAATATCCTTTTACACATATAACCTGTTTTATGTGTACTGGATGCACGAGTGGCCCAGGTATTAACTGTGTAGAGTTGACTCCCTTGGGCACACCAGAATCCTGTGATCAGGATCACAACTGGAGTACTTACAAAAGTGCTGTTTAACCCAACTCACCCACTTCACAAACCGAAGATAACAAAGGTACGTCCCTATTGTTCTATTTCCTAGAGAGCGTGAACCGGCATGTTTCTGACAAGCCTAAAAACGTAATTAAGCCGAGGTGTCTGGCGAGCCAAAGGGACATGACTCTGCACAACTTAGCGGCTTAGAGCCGGCAGTACATTATAATGACAGAAAAAGGCACATGACTGTATTTGAAGCCTGTGGCTTTATCATTTAGCAAATTAACAAATTATCAAAGATTACCTGAACAACAATGTATGGTTGATTGGATGTTGTTTCAGCAATATTCCAACTATATAGCGGCAGTAAATAATCGAGTCTGGACCACACAATCCAGTGATCAACAGCAGGATCATCGATTTACGCAATTGGGATACGATGGCATGTGTCAACCAAGTCAGCGAGCCCAACCATCCGATCCCATTAGTCGCCTCTTAAGACAAGCATGGGTTACTGAAGATCAATATTCTAACCCGGATCTTCACGGGTCACCTAAACAACAAAGTGTAAGGATCTGCTCTCCTGGGCACAGAGTATGGGAATATAAAACATAATGCCGTATTTTGAGTAAACACAGTCAATTTAAAACTTTTAAAATACATACTTACCCAAAATAAGACACAATCCAAAAGCGAACTTCATTTTTCAAAATAAGATGCGAATCTGGTGTTTTACTCAAAAAACACTAGTATATATATAGTTTCCATGACAATACACGCTGATCATGTTGCTGCCGTCATCTGTCAACATACACGACAGGGTGGCACTCCCTATGGCGGTATACAGACCCCGTGAGATGCTAATCCGACTAAAACAGCAGGGGGTGCGGTCTCTTCCTCCCACCATATGTGTTTTACGCGTGTCTACATGATAATGACTCAACGTAAAAAATGTTATATTTTTAACAAATCAGAGTACGGCACAAACGGCATTGTTGTCAGTTTGAGCATCATACGATCGAAAATGAAACTATTCTTGATTTCAATTCTTCTTCTTGGTAAGTAGACAGTAGTGGGTGAGTGAGTTTAGTTTTACGCCGCTTTTAGAAATATTCCAGCAATATCACGGCGGGGTACACCAGAAATGGGCTTCACACATTACATCCATGTGGAGAATCGAACCCGGGTGTTCGGTGTGACGAGCGAACGCTTTAACCACAAGGCTACCCCACCGCCCCTCATAACATTATGGAAATACGTATGCTGTCAAGGTAAAATTAGCAAGCCTTGTGGTTAAAATGTTGGTTTGCCTTTCCGAAGAAACATTCCGTTTCCGGAGAAATATTTAGGTTTTATGCTGGAAGCGGCATGAAACAATATTCATACTGTATGTAATACATAGGAACACACGGATTCATAATGGTCATGTTCTGTTTGTGAGCATGGTGACAGTTTAAGGGATCGAACCATGGCCTTTTGCGTAACAAGGAAACAGCTACTCTCGAGGCTAGCCCACGTGCTAAGTGTTAAAACACATTATATGAAGAGTCGGATTAATGTCTGACAAGACGTTAAGTTAATCACGCGACACATCAATGAAACATTAAATGTAATTATCATTTAACAGCGTGTCTGGCCGTCTACACCGCCGCCTGCGGATGTAGTAAGTGTAGCAGCTGTTGCAGCCACGGCAGCCACCACTCCCACCACAGCAAGCACGGCATCCCCATCCCCATCCCCTACCCCATGAGCGGAGGCAGCAGCGGCGGCAGTCACACCAACTTCCTCCCCATCATCCTCACCACAGCGGGATAAAGAGGTAATATGTATTTTGTGACCATTTATCCAATCAGTGATTGTTTACGCTGAAGCATGCAACGTGATACACATGACGATGTTTCCTTGTTTTATGTGTGTTTCGTTGTAACCCAAACCACAACCAACCAGGGTCGGTGGGGTAGCCTAGTGGTTAAGGCGTTCACTCGTCATGCCGAAGACCTGGGTTCGATTCCCCACATGGGCACAATGTGTGAACCCCATTTCTTGTGTCCCCCGCCGTGATATTGCTGGAATATTGCTAAAAGCGGCGTAAAGCTAAACTCACTCACTCATGCATGTAGACATGAATATGACATTGCACTTTCCAATAAACGGTTGCACTGGGCCAAGTGTTGCTAGCTAAAGACCCGAGGGCCGATCTACACCAATCCAAGTGTGTATGCAAATGTTTCACAGATTTTTCTACTTTCAGATATGTTCTGCAAAACTACTTCGAACATCTGGAGAAACTGCCGCGGTGGAACTCATCTTTAATAAAGTTTTCAAGCCTTCACATACATGTATTCTCATTGCTGAGTGAGTGAGTGAGTTTTACGCCGCACTCAGCAATATTCCAGCAATATGGCGGCGGTCTGTAAATAATTGAGTCTGGACCAGACAATCCAGTGATCAACAGCATGAGCATCGATCTGCCCAATGGGAAACCGATGACATGTGTCAACCAAGTCAGCGAGCCTGACCACCCGATCCCGTTAGTCGCCTTACGATAAGCATGGATTACTGAAGATTAATATTCTACCCCGGACCTTCACGGGTCTTTCTCATTGCTGAACACTGGGGTTGTCCTGCTCGCAAAACCCGATGATTCAGAAGATTCGGTTAAATAGACGGCATGGAGGAACTTGAGCTAAAATCTCTGATTGTTAAGATACGTGTACATTATGAAGTTCTCAGTTTTGGAATTCCCAGACATGAGCCTCAAAGGACTCGGCCACCTTGGCCTGTATCAAGTAGGATGTAGCTTCCTCCAATGATGGCCAATGCAGTGTAACATGCCATGTTGCATCTCGCAACTTTGCAGCGAGCGAAACTAATGTCGAATCATTACATGAATGAGTGAGTGAGTGAGTGAGTTTGGTATTACGCCGCTTTTAGCAATATTCCAGCAATATCACGGCGGGGGACACCAGAAATTGGCTTCACACATTTTGGCCACGTGGGGGAATCGAACCCGGGCCTTCGGCGTGACGAGCGAACGCTTTAACCATTAGGCTACCCCACCGCTCCTCGAGTCATTAAAGGAACATGCAGCATAATGTAGTTTTGACACCGATCCTCTTCCATAGAATCTGATATGGTCATGCTAGTCAAAGGATCCGAGTCTTTGTCAGGATTCGAACAACACGAGTAGCCGACTCTGAGCTGGATATGACTGCTGTACCGCCGTTGAATATTAATTCTTAAAATATGTTCCATGGGAGTGATTTGACATTAAATTATATGACAAATTTTCAAAGCCACTTTCACTTACCCCATATTATCACAATCACTCATTTATTATACAGTGCAGGTCACATAATTACTTATCTTTCCTCGCACACAAATGTCGTTTTCTGATTGGCTGAGCGCTCTCCTATTATTTTCAATGCACCCCACTTACAAGCGAGTAACATTTTCTATGTTACCCGCTGGGAATGCCGAACTGTTAGCAATTCTATATCTCGAATAATTGAGTCACGTATGATGAATGGAAATTACCGATGTTTTGCAATTACAAGTCGATGGAAGGGTAATAACATTTGTTTTTCTTGTCATCTACAAGGTTCTATGTCAACTCAAAATTAGCCAATATTGTCGGTATTGGCTAATTGCCTGACTCTGGTACTCCTTGTTATGATCCGATACCCGTGCTGCAAACAAATCACAATTAACATTGAGGTACCCCGTTGTTCGCTAAGATAAATACGCTGTTCACTGGTCCCTCGGGGCCCATGGGTTGATGTACCCTCTACCCAAATGGAGTGGGGCAGGTTGTTTGGTGATGTTTATCTTTCAGGGGGCCACACCCATTTTGTTCTGGGAAGATAGGGGGTCATCAATTTTGTACACATATACCGGGGGGAGAAATTTTGTACATAAAACACTAAAAGAATTATGCTTATAAATTATGGGAAGGGGAGGGGGGGTCACTGCTTATGTACATGACATGCAAAGGGGTCACAGACTTTGCATATAACGGGGGCATTCACATTGTACATGCTCCTCCATAAAATCATCATCACCTCCCTTGCCATAAATTATGTAGGTCCTTCAACCCTCTTGCTGTGCACACTGACCGTTGATTTCAGTACCCTTATAGTCCGTTTGCTGCAATATCGTACCGATGTTATGGCAAATAAATATACATTCGAAAGCAACAAATCCTCCTAAATGGCATGAAAGTTAGTCATTTGTCCACACCAACTCGTCACCATAATTTCAGACACTGATCGACATAAACAGTGGCAAACGGAGGTTTGAGAGCGCATGCGCCTCGCGGAAATCACGTGAAAGTGCATTCACCTGGCACGTGGGGATCGACACCAGACAAAACATCGCTGGCCATGGACCGACTTGCAGGTGTGTAAAACCTGAGCAAATTTGACGGTTTTAGGCTTGAAAGTTCATATAACTGTGATATATGATCATGAAATATACTCAAAGCGCATAATAATTTGTATGTGGTTCCTATAATTTCATTTTTTGTTACATGTAATGTATGGCCTGACTGAGAGAGTATAAGCAAATGAACCGAAATTGGTTTTAATAAGATCATGAAAAGTGGACTACTTGTCTGGAAATGTAGGGGTTTTTTTTACCTGAATATAAAAATAAGTGTAAAATGTTTATACCAATGAACCAATATCCAATTAACATAATTACTTACAGTGGTTTGAAAGGATAGCGGCAACGAGAAAAGGGCAATTTAGAGAAGCAGACTAATTTTATCCTGTATTATTACAAAAAAAGCAATGCTGAAACTAGCTGTACCATTATTACGCCGGAGACCCGGGTTCGAATCCACACATGGGTACAATATTGCCGTGATATTGCTGGAATATTGCTAAAATATAAAACCATACTCACTCACTCACCCACTCACTCACTCACAAAGCTATTATATAGTAAACAAAACATTGATATGAAATTTGTTTCGAGAGAGCGAAAGATAGAGATTGAGAATGGAATGGAGAAAATGCAGAGTTCCGTCCCTTGGGTACGCCAGAAACCTGTAATTGAGGGTTCAAATGATCGTCCTATGTTTCCAAGTTGGTCTGCACCATAACCTGGCTTGTTTGACCCATGTGGCAAAGGCTCACAGCATGAAGAGGATTAACTATCGGGTTTAGCGTGTTTCAGTTGAGGGATGTTAGACTTGCATGTCATTACTCCATAGTAACTGGGCATTTGGATTAAATATTCATTCTGATATAACATGGCAGTAAGATGTCGCCATGACAGGTATATAACTCTCGTCGTGTGCACAACATCGGTTGCGTGTAAACAGAAGTGACAAAACCCTTTCCACATTCATAAGAAATCTTTGCTAAAAGCAGAGTCGATTGTACAATTGTGAGGGTATTATGAGTAGGAAAGATTTCCGTCCGTAACACCAGTTTTATATCATCCTGTGCCTAAGATTTGATGGGGGTCTTTTTATAAAAAGGGGCGGTTATTTATAACCCTAATCCTAACCCTAACCCTGATTTTTATTTTCACCACAACACTAATTTACATTTTGACGTTACAAGCGTCGGTGGTTTCCATGTTTCAGAGCTCAGCTGCCTGACTCTCATCCTGTGTCTGGTAAGATGTTTTAACGCCTATGTGTCAGTGATATGAATTGCACCTGTCAATATATCAGATATAACACTCGCCGTACCTCTTGCTGCTTTCTAGTATTTTGACGTTCCTTATAATTACATATGGGTAAAACACCTCATTAGTTATTTCACTTGTGAAACACATCTCAGCTTTAGCCATTTCTGCAGTTTTACGATCCGTTTATATCTTTCTGGACCCGAGAAGATCCGGGTTAGAATTGATCTTCAGTAACCCAGGCTTGTCGTAAGAGGCGACTAACGGGATCGAGTGGTCAGACTCGCTGACTTGGTTGACACATGCCATCGTATCCCAGTTGCGTAAATCGATGCTCATGCTCTTCATCACTGGACTGCCTGGTCCAGATTCGAATATTTGCAGACCGCCGCCATATTGCTGGAATATTGCTGAGTGCGGCGTCAAACAACAATCAATATTTCTTGTCGAGAATTATCGGATGTCTATCAGGATGCAATATATTTTATCTGCGTCCATTCCATACGTGTGCGTCACATCAGACTCTGCATGGCGTCAAGTGAGACGGTCATTTCCCCGTGTAGGGCTCGGAATAATGCCAGACATTAAAATTATTATTTATTACAGCGACTTTCGATATGAGATTATAACTGTATTTCACTGTTTCAGCTCTATGGGCTCTCGGAAGCAATGATAGGCAGCAACTATGTAGTCGACGGTAAGATCAAATAATATACTTGTCTTTGAATGTCTAATCGCCCGTATTGCAATCTGAACAAATACTCTTAACTACTGTTATAACGAACTCAAAGCGACCAATATTTTAGTTATTTCTAACCTTGGAGGTGGGGCTAGCCTGGTGGTTAAAGCGTTTGTTCATCACGCCGAAGACCCGTCTTTCTTTGTTGCTTTGAAAATTATTTCATATATATTTTGTAAATGTCGGTGTATTTAGCCAATCAAACGCATTTTAGAAGAAAGACAAATAATTTGCGCTTCTATTCATTGAGATGACGGCACACGGTGGCCCTGTCGTTATAGGCGGGGCGATTAGCTGTGCAGAGTTGCGTCTCAGACAATTATGACCATAGGTTCTAATCCCCGCACTATACACATTCATCGCTTTGTACATTTCTCCAATATCAAGCTGACAGGTTGTGAAAAACTGAAATATTGTTCAAGACGGCGTTAAAATTCAGGCCACATCAGCATAAACATCGGGTGAAGTTCTCGAACTAGTGGCCATCTTCGACAGTTTGGCGCCTGAGAGCTTCTTGGGACAGTCATGTCCCACGCTGATGAATTTGTCCAAAGTGTGCCCCTGTTCAGCCAGCAGTGGATGGATACAGGGTAGAATGAGATGGTAATATGACTTAACCCTCCAGCATCTCAAAGACAGCTTAGGTCGCATTCTCCCATTGGGACTGAGAATTGGCGGTGTAATAAAGGCTTTGAACTTGATAGTCTGCTTGGAAAAACGCCATACAAATGGACTGTTATCATGATGATTTAAAAAACGATGAATTCGCTTGGCAGAGTGGCGTACCCTGGAGTGCCAGAAACCTATACTCACCCACACACAAGGCTTAGGGAGTTTGGTAAATTAGCCAGGTATTTCATCACAATGTGTCGTGAAGTCAATTCTATTTGAATCCTATATAATTAATCCTGGACATGCCATGGTTCACAATACATCGATAATGTTCTCAGACGATACGATACCCAGCGATCCAGACATGTACCTGTATCGTATTGTTTCAAACATGGACCTATTCAATCGTATAAATATTCATCAAATTGCCAGTAATTAAGTATAACGACATGGGTATCGTATCGGAGATTTATCTTGGCACATACCATTATCATTAGGGGTACAGCTTAATTAAACCGTATGCAACCAACCATAACATATGCTGTTTTAAGCGGTCTGTCTTTTGGGAGGTCTGTCTTATGGGAAGATACCGGGGTCCTTTAGTGGTTAAAGTGTTTGCTCGTCACGCCAAACACCCGGGTTCGATTTCCCACATGGGTACAGTGTGTGAATCCCATTTCTGGTGTACCCCGTCTTAATATTGCTGGAATACTGCTGGAATATTGCTGGAATACTGCTGGAATATTGCTTAAGCGACGTAAAACTAAACTCACTGAAAAGCAGAGTCTACAATGGAAATCGTCAGTTTGAAACAAGTGCCGAAAAGCTCGACCAGGCAGCCTTCGGTCTACTTGTTGATCATTTTGATCGATGAAAGGTCGTTCTAGGGTGACCTGTAATTGAGAGGTCAGATGTTTGTTTAGCGAGAACTAAGATCTTAATTTGACATTGTTGCAAAAAAAGTCATCCTTGTTTTTCAGTCCAATTCAAATGCCCGCCTGAGCCTGATGGAATTGTCCGGGTGATAGTTAAAACGGATATACCAAAAACTCACCCCTACGCCCTCTGCCATGGTCCTTTTGGCTTCGACTTCATCCCCATGTCCCCCGGGACCTGGTACCTGGACATACATTTCCAAAGCCCGGACGCCAGAGAATACTGCTGGTTCTCGGTAAGTCTCTGGCATCGTTTCCGAACGTTCTTAAAAAAGTCATTTTAAAGTGCTTTGGCCATTTTTTCATATGCTGGTCCAACCATTTGAAGATCTGGGTTAGAATTTGTCTTCAGCAACCCATGTTTATATCAACATATGAAGATCTGGGTTAGAATTTGTCTTCAGCAACCCATGTTTATATCAACATATGAAGATCTGGGTTAGAATTGTCTCCGAAACATGCTATCTCCCCCCTTGAAGATCTGGAATAGAATTGTCTCCGAACCATGCTATCTCTCCCTTTGAAGACCTGGGTTAGAATCGTCTCCAAACCATGATGTCTCTCCCTTTGAAGATCTGGGATAGAATTGTCTCCAAACCATGCTATCTCCCCCCTTGAAGATCTGGAATAGAATTGTCTCCGAACCATGCTATCTCTCCCTTTGAAGATCTGGGTTAGAATTGTCTCCAAACCATGATGTCTCTCACTTTGAAGATCTGGGTTAGAATTTGTCTTCAGCAACCCATGTTTATATCAACATATGAAGATCTGGGTTAGAATTGTCTCCGAAACATGCTATCTCCCCCCTTGAAGATCTGGAATAGAATTGTCTCCGAACCATGCTATCTCTCCCTTTGAAGACCTGGGTTAGAATCGTCTCCAAACCATGATGTCTCTCCCTTTGAAGATCTGGGATAGAATTGTCTCCAAACCATGCTATCTCCCCCCTTGAAGATCTGGAATAGAATTGTCTCCGAACCATGCTATCTCTCCCTTTGAAGATCTGGGTTAGAATTGTCTCCAAACCATGATGTCTCTCACTTTGAAGATCTGGGTTAGAATTGTCTCCAAACCATGCTTGACGTCAGAGGCAACTAACATGATCGGGTGGTCAGGCCGTAATCCAACTGCATAGATCGATGCTGATGATATTGATCTGGCCCACACTCTTATGTTTACAGGCCGCCGTCATATAGCTCGAATATAGCTAAACAAAGAATTTTCCATTTTGTCTCATAATAACGTCCATTTTCTTTTTCGGTATCTCGACCTTTGTTCAGTAAATAATATAACTCAAGGACACTCACTCACTCATCCGTTAACTCCGTTAAACATTTAATATTTTTCAGCAAACGGGAACGCAGGATGAGTATTTGTTGAACGTGTATGTCCCTGTCTCGTCTGGGTTGGTGACCTCGAATGACCCCGCTCACCGTGTCGTGTGCAACTATCAAGATGATTCCGAAACACCGCCTAATCTCATTTCAAACGTGGTTGAGAGGTGGGTGTTCAATATTATTAGTTCCTGTAAAGCTGATTCCTTAACCTTATGGCACCAATAGTGAAGCCCATTTCTGGTTTCCCCCGCCGTGATATTGCTGGAATTTTGCTAAAAGCGGTGTAAAATCAAACTCAGTCAGTCATGTCACCAATGTCGGGGATGGTAGGGAGCCATCTTGCTCTGCTTTATAAAAAAATCTTCACCAACCCATGGTTGTAAGAGGTGACTAACGCGATCGGGTGGTCAGGCTCGCTCACTTGGTTGACACATGCCATCGGTCCCAATTGCGCAGATCGATGCTCATGATGTTGATCACTGGATTGTCTGGTCCAGACTCGATAATTTACAGACCGCCGCCATATTGCTGGAATATTGCTGAGTGCTGCGTAAAACTAAACTCACTTATTTTTTAGTAATGTTGGGTTTAAACCCGTTTTGCACTGGCTTGCAATGTGTCAGAAAATGTAACCGAAATATCGTTTTTAGAACCTACTTATGTTTCGTTCGCCATTTTCGTATTTTATTATCAGTTTATGGGGCTTTGAATAGTTCTGGTAAGAGCCTTTTTTATATGATTTATAGTAAAAACATATGGTATATTTCTAAGCATCTGTCGGACCGCCTCCGTGGTGTAGTGATTAGAGCGTCCGCCCGTAGAGCGCGGAAGGTCGCGGGTTCGATCCCCGACCGCGTCATACCAGAAGTTGGGCCCCTCTGGCGCTCGGCATTAATGGGTTCAACAAGGACTGGTCGGCTCGGAGTCAGTATAATGTGTCTGAGTGGGGTATTCATGCTTCACTGCGGCATGGTATCTCAGTGGGCTAGCACTATAAAACCAGCTATAAAACCAGTCTGGGCTAGTACTAGCAGCCGCACATACACATACACACGCATGCACGTCGTCCTATGAACGAAATATTCTCAAGCACGACGTTAAACCCAATTTCACCTCACCTAAGCATCGGTCATTGGTTAGAATGTTTTCAAAACTAAACTGTTTGGTTATCGTTGTTTCTCATTTTACAGTGCAACTATGACAAGATGGATGTGTTTAGTGTCTAAGTGCATGTGAGTTGAGGTGAGGTGAACTTGGGTTTTACGTCGTGCTTGAGAATATTTCGCTCATATGACGACGTGCATGCGTGTTTATGTGCGGTTACTTGTACTAGTCTGAAGCTGGTTTTATAGTGCTAGCCAACTGAGATACCATGCCGCAGTGAAGCATGAATACCCCACTCAGACACAGTATACTGACTCCGAGCCAACCAGTCCTTGTTGTACCCATTAATACTGAGCGTCAGGCAGGGACCAACAAGTACCATATTTTAACGTCTTTTGGTATGACGCGGTCGGGGATCAAACTCGCGATCTTCCGCTCTCCGGGCGGACGCTCTAACCACTACACCACGGAGGCGGTCAAAGGTCCATGTAGTTGATTGTAGATTATGTTTTAGAGCAAATAATTGCAATGATCCTCAGATCTGTTGCCAACTTCGCCATATTAATCTTCTCCAGTACTGATTGTGTTCAGTCTAGTTTTCCCTTGCCACGCCCTTCATGTGTGTTTGTGGTTTCAGCAAGAAGCCATTTGAATCGATGATCAGCAACATGGGGCCGGTGAGCAAGTCGGACGTGGCCCTGTCGCTCACGGACATCACGGGCACGCCAGTCACTGGAGGTCTGAATGTCGGCAGGCTCGTCATGCTGAAAGCGGTCCTCGTTGGTGCGTTCATTTAATAGCTCATGTGAACATGTTGGCAGTCTGTAGGTGTTCAATTTCTCATGTATACCATTCAAAACTTAACACAGGAACACACGGTTCTTGTTTTATGGTACTGGTTTTAATCCTTCATTGCAAAACAAGTGTCATCGAATCCTAATTGCGTAGATCGATGCTCATGCTGTTGATCACTGGATTGTCTGGTAGAGACCCGATTATTTACAGTCCGCCGCCATATAGCTGGGATATTGCTGAGTGCAGCATGGAACTAATCCCACTCACTCGCTTAGTATTTACTGTGATAGGGCTGAAGGTCAGTATACTGCCGTAAAACAAATCTCCAATGCGTCAGGGTCGGTTTAGTCTTCCGCTCGTCATGCCGAAAGCACGGGTTTGAAGCCCATTTCTGGTGTCCCCCGTTTTGACATTGCTAGAATATCACTAAAAGCGTTGTACAACCCAACTCGATGACACTTAGCGTCAACACCTGTGGAGTCATACAGAACGTCGTGTCTGAACTTTGGCCGCCCAGTCAAAATGAAAAATGCGCGGGTTCGTCAGCAATTCATTTGTAAGCGTTCTTGAACGTGTATATTACCGCATCCTTTAGGAAATTTCGTTTAACGCGTCACAGAGCACACATATATTCCATTTACAATCATACGCGCAGATGTCCTATTCAACTGACGGTACCTTGGTTGGATATCAAGAGGTATCCTAATGGATCAAAGGATCTAATTGCAATGGGATTGAGTGGGCGAGTGGGTGATTGTTTGCAAACTTTTGACAATTCCAACATTATCATGGCGGGGACATTAGAAATGGTTTTCCAACATTATTCGTGGAGAATCGGATCCTAGGGAACGCTTTAACCATTTGATTAACACATTGCCCCAGTCTTTAACCCCAGCTCTCGGAGGGCGGTGGGGTATGCCTAGTGGTTAAAGTGGTCACTCGTCACCCTGAACACCCGGGTTCATTCACCACAAAGGGCACAATCCGTGAATCCAATTTCTGGTGTCCACTGCCTTCATATTTGTGGAATAGTGTTAGAAGCGATGTCAAACCTGACTCACAAACGCTATTTTTGTCCCAAGGCAACTACCCCGCAGAGACAAGCTTCCATGCCTTGACCTGCAAAGCCGTCTGCAACAAAAAGGAGTACGCCCTCCTGAACGCAGGGTAAGTAACCTCACCTCGTACATTCCAGGGGTTTAGTGGTTAAAGCGTTCGCTCATCACACTGAAGACCCGGGTTCGATTCCCTTCATTGGTACAATATGTGAAGGCCATTTCTCATGTACCCAGCCGTGATTTTACTGAAATATTGCTAAAAGCGGCATAAAACCATACTCGCTCATTCATACTTGAGGAAAGGTGGATCCGTGAAGATTCCGTTTAGAACTGGTCTTCGGCTAAAAGAGGTGTCAAACGGGATCGAGCAGTTTGGCTTGCCTACTTGTTGATGCATGTAATGGTATCCCAATTGGGTATAATAGTCATAATAATAATAGTGGATATTTATACCTGCGCCTGTACCCGTGCATTTAATGATCGCCCAAGGCGCTACAGAAAGGGAAATCTATGTACAATGTATACAGGAGATTACAAATAGTTGGAGTTAAAAAAGAAATGATCTAAGAGAAAGCTATGGAGAGGTAATGTGTTTTCAGAGGGAACTTGAAAGACTTCAGTGATTCGGCACATTTGACATCAGCTGGCAGTGAATTCTATATATCGATGCTGATGATGTCAATCACTGGATTTTCTGGTCCAGTTTTGATTATTTACAGAACGACATCAAATAGCTGGAAGATTGTTGATTGCGGTGTTAAACAACAAAGGAAAGGTATTTTCAACCATAACCTATTCCACGATCCGCAAAACTGTCATGGTTTGATCTACCTGATAAGAACCAGTTGTGTGGTCACTGGTCACTCATTCCAGCAGTCATTTGTATTTGAGGGGCGGTGGGGTAGCTTAGTGGTTAAAGCGTGCGCTCGTGACGCTGAAGACCCGGGTTCGAATCCCCACATGGGTACATTGAGTGAAGCCCATTTCAGGTGTCCCCCGCCGTGATGTTGCTGGAATATTGCTAAAAGCGGTGTAAAACTAAACTCACTCAGTCAGTCATTTGTATTTGAACCGAGTGTTGTAGATAGTCTTGTTGAGCGGTATTATATAGCCAAGTTGTTGAAGCGTTCGCTCCGACCAGGTTTCCATTCCCAGCAAAGGTAACATGGTTATATTACAGTGATGTTACTGGATTATTCCGTAACACTAAAGTGAATATTCACTGTAATGTCTTGGAAAAACCCGAAAAACAAAAGACACATGAAAAAAAATGTATTTTTCAGTTGCGGAGATGGAACTGTAATTGGCCAAAAGAAAGGTTTCAGGACAAAAGGGAAAGTCGCTTTCAGTCCTGTCTTCCGACTCTTCCGCATGGAGTTGGCCAAACCCTTGATGTTTGAATGTACCTTTATCATCTGCCAGAAGTGCGATGGGGTAGGCGTTGGTCTTTGTCTTGCGGTGGGGTAGCAGAGTAGCGTGTCATCGTATCCCACTGCTTAGTTCGATGCTCATGATGTAAAACACTGGATTGTCTGGTCCAAACTCAATTGTGTGAGCACGATAGTTTAACTGTTTCCCCGTGCTTCCCTTCCCTTCCCTTCCCTTCCCTTCCCTTCCCTTCCCTTCCCTTCCCAGACCTCGGCCCGTGCTTCCCTTCCCTTCCCTTCCCAGACCTCGGCCCGTGCTTCCCTTCCCTTCCCAGACCTCGGCCCGTGCTTCCCTTCCCAGACCTCGGTCCGTGCTTCCCTTCCCTTCCCTTCCCCCTTCCCAGACCTCGGTCCGTGCTTCCCTTCCCTTCCCTTCCCTTCCCCAGACCTCGGTCCGTGCTTCCCTTCCCTTCCCTTCCCTTCCCTTCCTTCCCTTCCCAGACCTCGGCCCGTGCTTCCCTTCCCTTCCCTTCCCTTCCCTTCCCTTCCTTCCCTTCCCCAGACCTTCCCTTCCCTTCCCAGACCTCGGCCCGTGCTTCCATTCCTTCCCTTCCCAGACCTCGGCCCGTGCTTCCCTTCCCAGACCTCGGTCCGTGCTTCCCCTTCCCTTCCTTCCCAGACCTCGGCCCGTGCTTCCCTTCCCTTCCCTTCCCTTCCCAGACCTCGGCCTGCTTCCCTTCCCTTCCCAGACCTCGGCCCATGCTTCCCTTCCCAGACCTCGGTCCGTGCTTCCCTTCCCTTCCCAGACCTCGGCCCGTGCTTCCCTTCCCAGACCTCGGTCCGTGCTTCCCTTCCCAGACCTCGGCCCGTGCTTCCCTTCCCTTCCCAGACCTCGGCCCGTGCTTCCCTTCCCAGACCTCGGTCTGTGCTTCCCTTCCCATACCTCGGCCCGTGCTTCCCTTCCCAGACCTCGGCCCGTGCTTCCCTTCCCTTCCCTTCGGTCCCAGTGCTTCCCTTCCCAGACCTCGGCCCGTGCTTCCCTTCCCTTCCCAGACCTCGGCCCGTGCTTCCCTTCCCAGACCTCGGCCCGTGCTTCCCTTCCTTCCCAGACCTCGGCCCGTGCTTCCCTTCCCAGACCTCGGCCCGTGCTTCCCTTCCCCTGACCTCGGGTCCGTGCTTCCCTTCCCAGACCTCGGTCCGTGCTTCCCCTTCCCAGACCTCGGCCCGTGCTTCCCTTCCCTTCCCAGACCTCGGCCCGTGCTTCCCTTCCCAGACCTCGGTCCGTGCTTCCCTTCCCAGACCTCGGCCCATGCTTCCCTTCCCAGACCTCGGCCCGTGCTTCCCTTCCCAGACCTCGGTCCGTGCTTCCCTTCCCAGACCTCGGCCCGTGCTTCCCTTCCCTTCCCTTCCCTTCCCTTCCCTTCCCAGACCTCAGCCCGTGCTTCCCTTCCCAGACCTCGGCCCGTGCTTCCCTTCCCAGACCTCGGCCCGTGCTTCCCTTCCCTTCCCATACCTCGGCCTGTGCTTCCCTTCCCATACCTCGGCCCGTGCTTCCCTTCCCATACCTGGGCCCGTGCTTCCTTTCCCATACCTCGGCCCGTGCTTCCCTTCCCATACCTCGGCCCGTGTGCTTCCCTTCCCTTCCCAGACCTCGGCCCGTGCTTCCTTCCCTTCCCAGACCTCGGCCCGTGCTTCCCTTCCCAGACCTCGGCCCGTGCTTCCCTTCCCTTCCCATACCTCGGTCCGTGCTTCCCTTCCCTTCCCATACCTCGGTCCGTGCTTCCCTTCCCTTCCCATACCTCGGTCCGTGCTTCCCTTCCCTTCCCAGACCTCGGCCCGTGCTTCCCTTCCCTTCCCTTCCCAGACCTCGGCCCGTGCTTCCCTTCCCTTCCCAGACATTAGTCCGTGCTTTCCTTCCCAGACTTGTCTTTCTGGTGTCCTCTTCTACCCCCGTGATATATGGAATATTGCTAAAAGCGGCATAAAACCCAACTCACTAACCACCTCCCAGGCTTGTCCCAAGGCCGAATCCTTGATTTGTCGACATTGTCACTTTGCCATCACTGAGCCCATGTAGCCGGCTCTCACGAAAATAGTCGATATTTATTCCTGCATGAGTAACTGTTACCCAGAACACGCCATTATAAAGCTGAAATACTGGTCAAATCGGAGCTGAATATCTTTCACCGTCACATTTAGTGAAGTGCTGTCATTGCGTTGTTCTGTACTGCAGGACTCGTGCGAAGACCAAGATCGGCGTAAGCGTCATTTGAGCGCATTTGAGAGAAACCCCGAATTAGAGAAAGGCAAACGTGAGTCCAGTCGAGTTAAAAGACTTCAGTTCATAGTAATGTGACCCAAACAAATCTTCAACCCATGCTTGTAAGAGGCGACTAACGGGATCGGGTGGTGAGGCTCGCTAGCTTGGTTGGCACATGTCATCGTATGCCAATTGCGTAGATCGATGCTCATGCTGTTGATCACCGGATTGTCTGGGGGTGGTGAGGTAGCCTAGTGGTTGAGGCGTTCGCTCGTCACTCTGAAGACCCGGGTTCGATTCCCTGCATGGGCACATTGTGTGAAGCCCATTTCCGGTGTCCCCGCCGTGATATTGCTGGAATATTGCTAAAAGCGGCGTAAAACCCAGCTCACTGGATTGTCTGGTCCAGACTCGATTATTTACAGACCGCCGCCATATAGCTGGAATAATGCTGAGTGCCGCTTAATACTAAACTCGGTCATAGAAATGCAAAATCAAAAAACTAAATTAAATGTCAAAAATAATATGCGGGTTTTACACCCTGAATGTTGAAGCGTTTTGTTGGGGCCCAGCAGGCCAAAGTTTGTGGTTGGAGCCAACTGAAAAGAGGACCAGGGCCTCCTTTCACAAAGCACTATGGTGATCGTCATGTTGAATAATGGGAGATAAGGTTAACCTTAGTAAAGGTTGCTTGTGAAAGGAGCCCCAGGTAGCTGTAACATGTTAACAGATGGTGTTGAATGTCCCTTGTTCTGTTTACCTTTAGTTTCCTGATCAAGGGTTTTTTACATGCCATTTTAAGTAAATATTGACAATGATCCCAGCATACTTTTCACACTGCCGAAAACAGTTCAGGTCTTAAAGAGTTGTTTGTTTCAGATATCATAACTGCTCGGGTCGAAATTCCATCATTCCGGGAACACCATCTCACTACACACGAACACTCGGTTATTCCCGTGAGCGCACCTTCAGGATTAGCAGTTGGTGGCATTCGTGGTTCAGAAGCCGCCAGGGACATTCATCGCTCAGAAGCCGCTAGGAATCTTCATAGTTCAGGAGCGACAGAGGACCTGGTTCTCACAATTCTTGTGGCTGTAATTATTCCCTTGGTGTTCCTGGTTGTGATCATGCTGATGTTCATCATCGCCATATCCCGTGCCCTACGCTCCCTGGCGGCCTTATACAAGGATGTGAACAGACTGCGTGGTGAGGTCGTCGCTAAAGACGTGAAAGACGTAAAGGTTGACATAAAGGCCACCATGTGATGAACCATTTGTTAATAAAGAGAGGAAAAAATTCTGTTCTGTGATGCTTGAAATATAAAAATTAACAGTTGCTTTGGACCGAGATAGTCATCGTTATCATAGTCCGTTTGGCTCAAAAGCGGACCGATGAATTGCAATCGAAAACTAATAAACATGTAATACTCAATGAAACGCTGATCATAATCAAAACATTAGACCAACTCTGATGTGCTGGAAAGGATGGAGACGGCACAGCAGAGGTAAATGTATCCAAAACTTTGTCGGCACTCCTGCACGTGCTTCACGTACACCTGGCTGTTCCTCTTTGCACTCATCCCTCGTAACACTTGGTGAACTGTGACAAAATTGTAATGATAGTGATTGTTAAAAAACTTTTTTTTATTTTTAGGACATAAAGTCTGCAAAGAACTGACAGTTGGTCTGATGTTTTGATTACGATCAGTGTTTCATTGAGTATTACTTGGTTTATTAGTGTTCGATTGGATTTAGTTGGATTGCAGTTCATCGGTCCGCTTTTGAGCCAAACGGACTATAAATGTGTGGCCTCGCTGTAAAGTATTGATGACTGGCGAGATGACTTGATATGCCTCGACTTAAAGATGCTTGCACGCACACATTAGCAGCTAATGGCCACAACCAGTGTCATAACAATGTGAAAGGGATGGATCTACTGATGTTTGCGTTACATACCTCTCTGTCATCATATGAGCGAAATATTCTCAAGCACGACATTAAACCCAATTTCACCTCACCTCACATACCTCTCTGGGATGGTGGGATAGCCCAGTGGTTAAAACGTTCACTCGTCACGTCGAATACACGGGTTCGATTCCCCACATGGGTACAATGTGTAAAGCCCATTTCGTCGTAAACCCAAGCTGCTGTGAGATGGGTCGTACAAATATACGCTTTGGAAAGTTTGTTTAGAAGCCAAATATTTTTTATTAATGACGGGTTGGTTTTAGCAACTAGGAGTGAACTCACAAATCTGATATTCCTTGAGTAACACGCGATTGCTGATAGTCAGCCCATGAACAGACAAGGCCAACCTGTGCTATACAAGTGGTCAATTTACCATGTACGGTTTGAGAGATCCTTCCACTATTTTCCTAAAATTAGCGTTTATCAAAGTGGAGAACTGTTTTCACTGCTTGTCAGGGCGGTGGGGCGGCCTAGTGGTTAAAGCGCTCGTCACGCAGAAAACCCGGGTTCGATTCCCCACATGGGTTTAATTTTGAAGCCCATTTCTGGTATCCCACGCTGTGATATTGCTGGAATATTGTTAAATGCTGCGTAAAACTAAACTCACTCAAAGCTGCTCATGGCAAAGGCCCGGGGTCGATTCCCATAAGCCCATTACTTATGCTGAGATACTGGTTCTTCTAAACACATGTTCAGAATCGCCTTGGTTCCATTCCGTGCGCGTATAAATGTCCATGCATGTCAGAAGGTGAAACAGTCAAGGTTCGGTGGAGTGGCCTAGTGGTTACAGCGTTCGCTCGTCAAACTGAAGGATCCGATTCCCCACATGGGTACAATGTTTAAAGCCCATTTCTTGTGTCCCCCCAGGCGTCATATTGCTAAAAGCGCGTTAAACCATATTCACTCACTTATATTGCTTGAATATTACTGAAACCTGCGTATAGCCACATTCACTCGTGTATCACGACAGAAGACAGAGGCTACAGAATGAACTTCTCCATCAAACAAGACCTTAGGTCTCGCTTCCGCTAGTAGACACGTCAAAGACCCGGGTTCGATTCCCCACATGGGCATAATGTGTGAAGCACATTTCTGGTGTCCCCGCCGTGATATTGCAGGCGTAAAACCATTCTCACTCACTGGGGTGGTGGGTAGATTAGTGGTTAAAGAGTTCGCTCATCACGCCAAAGAGCCAGGTTCGATTCCCTATATTGCGTGATATTGCTGGACCTTTGCTAAAAGCAGCGTAAAACCATGTTCACTCACTCACTCAAGATGAAAATGAATAGCTGAAACCAACATTAGCCAGCAGCATTCTCCAACTTTATTGAACTGGCATGGTAACAGTCCCATCGACACTACCCTTTGTAAAGTAATAACACAAAGTTCGCCGTATCCCAGTTGAGACGATCTATGCTCATGATGTCAATCACTGGATTAATTGTCTGTTCCCGATTCGATTTACACACCGCCGTCACATAGCTAGAATATTGCTGAGACAACAAAATATTAATACCACACTGAGCTGATACTGATCAAGGCGACCCGTGAAGGTCCGGGTCTATTAGAATAGCCCTTAAGCAACCCATGCTTGCTGTAAAAGGCGACTATGCTTGTCGTAAAAGGCGACTAACGGGATCGGGTGGCCAGGCTCGCTGACTTGGTTGACACATTTCATCGGTTCCCAATTGCGCATATCGATGCTCATGCTGTTGATCACTGGATTGTCTGGTCCAGACTCGATTATTTACAGACCGCCGCCACATAGCTGGAATATTGCTGAGTGCGGCGTAAAACTCAACTCACTCACTCACTGATCAAGGCGACATAACATTTATTATCTTGCATCGTGCGCAAACGACGTCTGATACTCGGCTGTTATTGTCAACGGTAACTCGTGTCGTTCGACTGAATGACTGTCCGTCACAGTTGTCAGTGTAGGTCGATGACGAGGTCGTTAAGTGGACTGAGCTCCTTGACCTTGCGAGATACCGTGGGTCGCTGTGATCCGTCTACGGGGGTGGTCTTACTGTGACAACCTGATTGGTCAAGATCTCTGAATGAAGTGTTATCTTTACAAATGAACGTAGGGCGTGCGTAGTTTTCCGACGGACCTGGTACACTAGTATGACCTTGATATCGGAAAAGCGTCATCGTAAGTCTTTTGAACCGAACGAGCAATTCCTTTAAATGGTGTATCTCTAGCATAGGGAAATTCATCCTATTAAAAAGAAACGTTGGTTCTCATTAATAGGAAAGGAGTATGTTTTTACGCCGCCTTTTGCAATATTCCAGCAATATCACGACGGGGGACACCAGAAATGGGATTCACGCATTGTACTCCTGTGGGAATCGAACCCGGGACTTCGGCGTGACGAGCGGACGCTTTAACCACCAGGCTACCCAACCGATCTAACGGTAAACGAAGATCTGAGAACATACGATTCCAAGCAACGCGAGAAGGATCACGTCTCTTCTATCTCAGGTCAAGAAAGAGCCTGGTTCATTGATTAAGCGCCAGAGCCGCCTACCCAGGACAACAGGCTCGCAAGAAACAGTGTATTCTCTAATCCTGCAATCCCGTTAATGTTACCATGGGATATTCCGGACGACAGTTAACAAGTGAAACCCGCCTTCTGTGAGAAACATCCGTTACCGTGTACCCTGATGTGAGTGAGTATGGTTTTACGCCACTTTTAGCAATATTCCAGCAATATGACGGCGGGGACACCAGAAATGGGCTTCACACACTGTACCATGAGGGGAATCGAACTCGGGATTCCGGAATGATAAGCGAAAACTTTAACCCCCAAGCTACCCCACCTCCCCTACCGTTATTTGAAAACATACTAGACAATCCCACAGAATACTATGCCGGCAGCGGTGAGAACAAAAGTGGTTTACACCTTCAGCGTATTTGATGTGAGGGGCAGACAGGCAAAGGTTGCGATCAACAGACGAGCCTTCAAAATGTCTAGTCTGCAAAATATATCACAATGGCCTGCAACTGATGTACAAAAGAAACTACACACGTGCTGCTTTGAGGTTAATTTTCCCCCCCAAAAAATAACGCGTTTTACCCAAAATATTTACGGTTTTGTTAATGACCCTAAAACATTATGTATGTACTTTCTTTTGTACGTGAGTGTCAGTAGTGGTACTGCAATAGGTTTGTCCCCCGTCATGATACTGACGGAATATTGCTCAGGGTGGCGTAACAGCATACTCACTCACTCTAGGTTTGTCAGAACAATAACCATGCCTGAAATGGTAAACGTGTCAGTCTCACGAAAATCAGAAACAGGTTAATGTTTACAGGTTTACCATGATACTTTTTGGAAAAAAAACATTGTAATATCACTACCTGTTCTATCTATGATCTGCTGTCCTCTGAATCAGTTCAAAGCTTCGCAATTCCCTGATGCTTGTCGGTCAGACTAGACACATGTCATCGCAGTCACATAAATCGATATTAATCTTGATGGTAATCACTGTACTGTCTGGTCCAGTCTCGATTATTTACAGACCGCCGCCATATAGCTGGAATAGTGCTGTGTGCGGCGTAAAACTAAACTCACTCACTCACCCACTTCCTGATGCGTTGCCCGGACACAATCGATTGTTCAACACTGTATAGCATGGCTTGACTCCACGTGGTAACGTTATTATCGATGTGAAGTGCGGGGCGTGAGTGAAGTGTTGTAGAATATATCATGTGTCTGACATAATCCCTCGTGCCTGTCACTGCTCAAGTGTGCTCGCGACTGAGAAATATTTACAACCGCGTCAAATATTGCTTCCCTTTCAAATTATGTTGTTGCCAGTACAGCAATATGAAGACCCGCGTCTTGCAATATTCTGCCATACAATATTCCGTTCATACTGCTCACTCGCTCACAGCCTGTTGGAGATTCCGGGACACACCAGACCGAACTGACACGCTGTGAGCTGACACAGATGATGCTCGCCGCGGGATACAGGGACGTATTGTGGACTTGGTTGATAGTACGTCACTGTGCCTCGACGTATTGTGGACTTGGTTGTTTGTACGTCACTGTACCCCGACGTATTGCGGGCTTGGTTGATGGTATGTAAAAACTACTCCAACTGCATGGGCCAGTGTTGATTGTGTCGATCTTTGGTCCAGATTCCATATACAGCCAGCCGTGGTATAAGAGTGGTTTTCCCAACAGTATCAAAGAGGGAAACCAGAACTGTGCTTCACGCACGAGACCCATGTCTGTGATACAGCTGGAATTGTGTATGAGTACGGAGTATGACAAGCATCCTGTATGAGGCTCGGATCACCACAATGAATGACTTTGGTGTCAT